CTATCAAGGTACCAAAGTACACTTGATGCCTTCAAGCATACCTATGAAACACATCAATGAGTTTTAGGTACCCAATTTACGTTGGGTCCTCGGGTGTTAGGTGTGTAATGGTAGTGTGCTTGATTTTGTGATAGGTGCCTATGCCTAGTGTAACAAACGGGAGCAATATGGCCTATCCTATTACAATAATGGCAAACTACATTGGGGTTGTACATGTGCCTAGGTTCATAATAGTTAGAAGGTTTAACCATTTTGTTCCTATTTTGTGAAAATGATGGTTTTTGGAAATTTTGAAATTGGCCTCTTCTAGGTGCTCTAGCATTATTTCTTCTTATTTGAGAAAATTCATTTTTATGCACAAAATCATTTTTCTTAGGTTGTCTACTATGACCATTTTCATTCCTAGGTTTTAGTCTAGGTTGTCTAGTGTCCTTCGGTTGACTAGGTTTTCTATTATCTTCATTTTTAGGTTTCTTATGTTGAACCTTAGATGATTGTCTAGGTGGTGGCTTTATCTTTAGCTTTATTTTTATCAAAACCTATTCCTTCCTTAAAAAATGCATAGTGTCAAGAAGTAAATTTAAGTCTTTGTGAGGAGTATTAAATTTCTTGACCGTGCTCTCAAGTTTAGCGACTTGCTCTTTTAAAGTTTTGCAAGACCCACATTCACTCGATGAGCTTTCTGGTTTGTCAGCGCTTCTTTTTCCAAAAAAATTGTTTTCTTGTTTAAGTATTTCATTTTCTTTTTCCAATTTCTCAAAATCGTTTTCAAGTAAAGAAAGTCGTTTCTTCAGGGATTTATTTGTTTTAGAAGCGCTAACAAATTCCTCATAAAGTTCATGAAGTGCTTCTTGCATTTCTTCAAAAGTGTAAGAGTCGGAAGAAATGTTACATACCTCTTGGACGTCGTCGCTTTGATCTTCGTGCGCCATGAGGTAGAGATTTGCAGCTTCGTCCTCCTCTTGGTCGGTTGATTCGTCGCCGGAATCGCCACCCCAAGAGATGTAGGCCCTTTGCTTCTTGAAGCCAGGCTTATCCTTGCCGTGTTTGGCCTTTGGACACCTTGGCTTGATGTGGCCAATCTCGCCACAGCCGTAGCACTTGGGAGGACCGTCGTGCTTCCTTCCCTTCTGCTCAAATTCCTTCTTCATGAACTTGTGGAACTTCTTGATGACGAGCCCGAATTCATTGTCGTCATCGCTTGAAGCTTCTTCCATAGTCTCCTTGGTTGCTTTCAGCGCTATTCCCTTCTTCTTTTGTTCATCCAAAGATGGGGTTAGGATAGTAGATTCATAAGTTTTGAGATTACCTCTTAACCCGTCGATGGTGACATTTGAGACTCTGATGGATTCATAGATTGCATCTGCCTTTGATCTCCATTCGGGTGTGAGACTTCGCATGATTTTTCTCACAAGATCCTTGTTGGCGTAAGTCTTCTTGAGTGCATGAAGGTCGTTGATGATCTTTGAGAACCGAACGAACATGTCATCGATCTTTTCGCCTTCCCTCATTCTGAACATCTCGTACTCCTGCGTTAGGAAGTCAATTTTGGCTTCCCGAACTTAGTCCGTACCTTAATATGTGACCTCCAGCTTGTCCCACATTTCTTTTGCAGTGGTGCAGCAAGCGATCTTGCGATAATCATCAGGATTGACGGCAGGGTACAGCATGTTGATTGCCTTGGCGTAGTTCTCCACCTTTTTGATGTCCTCGGCATCAAATTCGTCCTCGGTTATTGGGACTGTGGTTTCTCCTACTTTCTTCACTGGGATTTGCTCTCCATTTTTGATGACCAACGATAATTGGAAGTTGGTGGAACGGATATAGATTCTCATCCGTTCCTTCCAATAGGAATAGTTGGTGCCATCAAAGAGTGGTAGCCTAGACGTAGACTGACCTTCTCCAATTCCTACATAGAGATTTCTAGAAGAAGAACCCATGATTGCTTTACTCTCAAACGGTTAAGTTTGTACGCGAGTTAGGCTCCGATACCAATTGTTAGAATAAGAGACTAACGCTAGAGGGGGGGGGGGTGAATAGCGTTTGATCAAAAATCGCAGGAATAAAAAAATGAATAAACGAGAAGTAAAGAGAGTAAGAGGCACACCGATTTTACCCTGGTTCACCACAACTTGTGGCTAATCCAGCCTCCCGAGAGACTCTCTCGAGCTACACTACTACCTCATTAAGCTTAACGGTGCTTAACAAACCCGTACAACTTGAGAATTCGAGTCACACGAACCTCAACGAACCTTCGAAGGAAATAGCCCTTCCTTCGAACAACAAGAGAAATACCTTCTCTCGTCAAGTGTTTAAGAACACTAAAAACACTCAAGAACAATACTCTCTTTTAGAGTGGATAATGAGTAAACTAAGAACGCTCAAGAACACAACACAAGCTTCACAAAAAAATGGCTCTCAAAAGCTATGAATAATTGAAGAATGATTTGCAATAAAAGAGTAGGAGTTGTGAAGTAATGTGATATGTAAAACAGACACAAACACCCCATTTTATAGTAGAAAAATAGGCTCCAACGGACCAAAGTATTTAAGGGGTGATTGGCACAATTTGTGGGATTTGATGAAATTTGGATCTGTTGAAATTCACCCAGACAGCGCTGTCCTAGGCTTGGACATCGCTGTTCTAGGCTTGCGTTTTGAAAAATGGGAAGCAACGGTCATGCCAACAGCGATGTCTAAAATCCCTACATCGCTGTTTTGGCTGTTGACTTCCAAACAAGGAAAGTTTTAGCCTTAAATTCCTTCCAACAGTCAGGTCTCTACATCGATGTTCCATACTAGAACATCGCTGTTTAGGTCTGCCTTTGAAGATGGAAGTTTGGCCTGACAGCACTGTTTCTGGGTCAACATCGCTGTCCAAAAACTTTCTGCCAATGCACAATATTTTTGGCTTAGGTTAGACAGCGCTGTAGGGAGGCCTACATCGCTGTTCCAGAAGTTTCTGGAAATCCAACCTTGGCTCAACAGCGATGTCTAACATCCAACATCGCTGTTGAAATACTTAACGCCAAACTATGGTTTTCAGCTACCCAATCCAGACAGCGCTGTTGGTTACACCAACATCGCTATTGGGCTGGTTTAGCCAGACCCATGGTTGGTTTAGTCAGCCGTTAGCCGATGTCAAAAATGTGAGTTCTCCAAAAATAAAAACCAAGTATTGAAAATGTTTGTTTAATGCAATTTGCTAAGTAATCAAGTAAAACATTTTGAAAACCACGTCATTTAGTTGAAAACCACGGCTAGCCAAGTTTACGCCGTTTCGCATGGTTTTCACTAAACGACCAAAAACGAAAGGTGGTTTTTGAAGCGTTTTTGTTGGAGAACTATTTAAATATGCCCAGAAGTAAAAACTAATCATTAAAAGTTGAAAACCACCTGGTTGGTTCGAACGCCAAAAACCAACGCCGATAACCGAAAGCCGAACGCCGGTTTCCGAAGACCGAACGCCGGATGGCTTGGTTTTTGGTTTGGGCGAACTCCAAGTGTTTTCAGGCAGGTTTAAGAATTAATAAAATCATTTTGAATATGCAAAAAATATTTTGATGAAATGAGCCTAAAGAGCCATGTTTTGAAGGTTTGTGCCGGTCTTGATCATATTAAAACCGACTCAATATAATTCTAAGTCTTCGTTCTTGATTCTTGGTTCTTGGTTCTCAGTTCATCATGCCATGTTCCTTCGCCTTGGTTTTGCTCAGTTTAACCTTGTTATTGTCACGTCGGTTTGGCATTATCAAAACCTGTCATAAAACGAACACAGCTTAGTACGACATAGGCGTAAACCCGTGTTCCAACAATTTCCCCCTTTTTGATAATGGCAAACAAGACGGGAATATGAATACTAAGGTATATTTGACTTTGAAAAGAGTGAAAAAGTTCCCCCTTAATTTGTGCTTAAAAAAATTGTCATATTAAAATCAAACGATCCCGTTTTTAGGGACGTTCCCCCTTAGTGTATGCATAGCCCTTTTCTTCCCCCTTTTGACATTAACAAAAAGATAAAGGATAACTTTTATTTATTGAAAAAGGGAAATAGCGGGGTACAACGGAAGCATTAAAAAAACAGGATAATTAAAATAAAAGAGATAGAAATTCTAGGGGCGTCCTAGTCTTCGTCTTCGGTTTCCTCCTCTTCGTCGTCGTCGTCCATCTCATCACCGTCAACGGCGTCGTCGAACTCGTCCTTGTCCGGGGAGCTTGACGGGTCGTAGGAGGCATCGTCTTCGTCCTCGTCACCGTACACCTGCCCAAAGAACGTGTCATGGTACGGTAGGGGGACGTAGTTAACACGTTGGAAGTACGCGTTCATGGCGTACCCTTGGCGTTGGACCGCCTCGTCAAGTCTTTCAAGGTAGCCATCCATCGCATCAACTTTGAAGTGCAGCCGGTTGAGGGAGTCAGCAATGGAGGCAAGGTTGGTTCGGGCCTGGGGTTTGGTTGGGCCAGTAGCAGAACGGGGCCGTGGCCCGGCAGTGGCAGGTCCGGCGTTGTCCGACCACTTCTTGAAGGTTTGGGTGCTGATTGCCCAAATCTTCGTGGCCTTTGTGAGTGGGCCAACGGTGGTGGTCACCTTGAACCGTTCAAGGATGTCCATCACCACGAACGGGTACGGGAGGAGGTGATCGTGGTCGGTGGATGCGGCAATCGTCATGTTGATCATGACAAACTTTGCTCAATTGATTGGGGCTGAGTGCATGATCGCATGGATGAGTTTGAGGTCCTCACCGGACATGATTGTGTGGCCATGCTTCCAGGGCTTGATGATTCGGGACACGATGTAGAGAAGAAGACGGCCTTCGGGGTTAGCGGAGTGGATGGTGGGGCGGCCCGAGGCATGGTGGATGAGCTCGGTGATGCCAAGCTCGTTGAGGATAAGGCCCTCGTTGTTGAGCACCCAGTCCTCTCCACCATAGTGGGAGACGTCCTCGCCTTGGTAGGGGAGGCCGACGATGCGCCCAAGCTGCTCAATTGAAAGCTCTATCGGCGTGCTCTTGACAAGAGAGTGGAGCACGTCGCCCTCACGCCGGAGGTTGGAGTAGAAGACCCGAATCAGCGCCGGGTTGATCTCCTTCCGAGCCCGGGAGACGAAAGGCCAAAGGCCGGCCTGATGAAGCTGCGCGTCGAGGTCGTCGTAGCCCTGCAGCTCCGGGTAGCGCTCCGGGATGATCCGTGGAGGAGCCACGACCCGTTTAGAGAAGAAGGTGAGAAAGCAGGTGCGCTCCTCCTTAGAATCGAACCAGAGGTATGATCCGTCGCCATAGTAGAGGCGTTCCTTGGTGGATGTCGTAGGTGCCCGGGATTTGGACTTTGATTTCCCGGAGGTGGCAGCCCTGCTCTTGTCCTTGCCCATGAAAAGAAAACTCAAGAGAAAAGAGTAGAGATGATGAAATAAGGAAAGATGTTGAAGAGAATTATGTTTGTGTGTGTAAAAGTGAAGAGAGGGGGTCCCAATTATAGAGAAAGAGGTCTCTAACGTCCATATTTTCAAAAATATGGCTGTTGGATCAATTAATGCTGGTGCCAACAATTATTTTTTTTGAAAAATTTATCTAGAACAACGATGTTCCAAAGGCTACATCGCTGTTGGGACAGCACTGTTGAGCCTCTGGACAGAGTTGTTATGCGTCAAGTTTTAAAAACAAGTGTTAAATGGACAGCGATGTTGGGTTCCCTACAGCGATGTTCCAAATCATTCTGGAATTGTGTAAGGGGTTGAACCCATTAGAACAGCGCTGTTGGGTTTCTCTACATCTCTATTTTGCGATAGAGGAAAAAATTTGTAAAAGTGGACATTGATGTTGAAGGTAAGACATCGTTGTTAAAAAAGATTCTGGTTTTGGTTGAAAACAAAATGTTTTGGGTAGACAGCGATGTTTAAAAAGGAACATCGATGTTCAAAAAGTTTCTGGAAAGTGAAGATTTAAGGGACTCCCTGGGACAGCGCTGTTGAGGTCTTGTACAGCGCTGTTGGCAGACTTTCTGGTTGACGGTGTTTTCCTCAACAGCGCTGTTTGGTCTCCTGGACGACGCTATTTGCATGGTTCCCCCTGATTTCATGAACGGGGTACCTGCAAAAAAGAAAAAAGTTCTCTGACACTCAAGTTAGTAAGCGTTTAATAAGTTTAGATGCATAACTTAGATCATCATGGAGTCAAGGATTCCGAGTTCACTTCGAATGTGGAAGAACGACTCTTTCTCTAAAGGTTTTGTGAAAATGTCGGCTAATTGGTTGTGTGTTTCAACAAACTCAATTTCGACATCACCTTTGAGAACATGATCTCTAATAAAATGATGCCTAATGTCAATGTGTTTCGTCCTTGAGTGAAGAACGGGGTTCTTCGTCAAGCTTATGGCGCTAGTATTATCACAACGAAGAGGGACATGATTGATACTAAGGCCATAGGCCACGAGT